TTAAAGTGCCATTCTGGAGAAAAAAAAGTCTGAAAAAAAATACTGTTTACCGCCCCCTTAAATTCGGCGCCCATGGCTTGACTCAATTACAGTCTGTGTCAAGAGTATTTTGGGTTTCGTGTATCTTAAAAGATTTACTTGTTGAATGAATGAATTTTTTATTCTCTCCAACATTTCAAATAAACTTGTGCGGGCTATTTTAAAAGAAAGTTAAATTTAGACAGACGTATCTTTAGCTTCGTGTCGTAAAGATTTAGTCATTGAAGAGTAACGTTTTATACTCTCCAACATTGTAAACAAACTGGCGCGGTTTATTTTTAAAGTAAGTGAATTTCTTCTAATTGGATAGTTACACAATGCAAAAAAGTCGGCGTGATAGGGTCGGTTAAGCTCATCGTTACTGAGCCTATAAGTCCCGAGTTCGAACCCCCGGGTAGTTTAGGCTCGATAGCTGGGGACAGGAACCCTTCTAGGAGAGACATCTCCAAAATCAAACAACTTCTGCCTTGTAGTTTGTTCTTGGTTGGACAAAGGCTATGGAAGCAAATCCAAGAATAAAACCGGACTGAAATCGGAGTAATTATGGCGCTTAACAAGTTGACACGTAATACTTAACTGTGTTGGAGGAAATCTCTTTCAACGCTAAAATTAAATAGGAAGAAGAAGAAGAAATTCAATGCAGATAATAAACTTGTTAGTGATAATTTGCAGTTTAATGTAAAAGATTGAGTTCTTGGAACAGCGCCGTGTCACGTGGTACTAAAATTTTAATTTTAAAAATAGAGGGTCTTTTTGAACAATATAAATTAAATAGTGGGGCATCACGAAAACTCGTATCGTACTTTTTTATGTTATTATAGCACTTGTGCGTACTTGATGTCTTATTGACTTGCGTGTAAAGATATGTTTCGATACTAAACGTAGGTGATGTGTCTGGTTATTAACGAGTCTCATCGTCATCATCTTTTCCTTTTCGTGCCCAAGAAGACACTTGGGGCAGATGAAGTAGAGTTCATCTGTTTCAGAGACCTCGGCATATGAAGGGATAGTGTTGTTAGCACTGTGCCCAGCCATCATTGTTTTCCCTAAAGTGAGTTAGGGACCTATTAGAGCTGGGTGGATTCAGTGACATTCAACTGACATGAATAGGGATTTTTGGGTTAGCAGTCTAGCTCTCTAATGCTAGGCCAGCCGCGTTGAACGGTTTTATACAGCTAAGTTTAAAAAAGCTGTTCCATACTCAAAATCTGAATTAAACTTAGTTTAAATAGTTAATCGTGAGTCCCGATTTAAAAGAGTAAAATACAATTAAATTATATCAAAATTTCAAACTGCTACAATTACCTCCTGCGAATTAAAAAAATGGTTATATATATATATATATATATATATATATATATATATATATATATATATATATATATATATATAGGCCTATAAATATGAGGTAATTTAAATATCTAATTAGAAAGAAGCCCATTGAAACAAATTAAGCAGCCCGTAACTAATTAGCTTGACTAGACCCAACCGACTTTAATTAACACCGACTAACAAATAGGAATATTCAATTGGTGGCATGTAATATAATTGTATGAAGGATATTTTAAAGCAGAGGTGTGTTATTGATAGCATGTTCTACGATTGTATGACGGATATTTTAAAGCAGAGGTGTGTTATTGATAGCATGTTCTACGATTGTATGACGGATATTTTAAAGCAGAGGTGTGTTATTGATAGCATGTTCTACGATTGTATGACGGATATTTTATCGCAGAGGTGTGTTATTGGTGGCATATACTATGATTGTATAATGAATATTATATAGCAGATGTGTGTTATTGATCATTGTACTATGATGGTATGACGGATAATGGTAGTGGTGTGTTATTGGTGTCATGTAATGTACATAGTGTCCTCTTGTATGTCATGTAATGTTTTAAAACCACAAATACGTTTGTGATTACACAAGCAACTTTACAGAATAAGTGCCTGCGACACATATTGAGTAGAATATGGCCAAACCCTATCTCAAATGTAGAGTTAAAAAGAACATTTGTTATACCATTAACAGAAGTTATCACGAACAGAAGACGGTTAGGTAAGAAGTTGGAGATGGTTGGGCCATGTGCTCAGATAGAAAGCAGGCACATTAGCTAGTACAGCTTTGTGTTGGACACAACAGGGCAAAACGAAACAAAAAACAAACATGTGTGCGTGTTTGTGTGCGTGTGTATATGTGCGTGTGTGTGTGTGCAAGTGTATGTGAGCATGTTTGTGAATGTGTATTTGTCGCGTGTGTATGTGTGTGCGCGCGTGCCAGTGTGTGTGCGTGTGTGTGTGTGTGCAAACATGTGTGTGCCTGTGTATTTGTACGTGTCCGTGTGTGTGTGTGTGTGTGCATGTGTGCGAATGTGTATTTTTGCGTGTCCGTGTGTGTGTGTGTGTGTGTGTGTGTGTGTGCACCATTGATATCTTGTCTTCCCTTCTGACATTATGAAATCAACCCTAATCAAGTTTGGAGTTTCACGCATGAATAACGTCGCAGTCAGCTGCTTCAGCTCTCTGTCTTTTAAGCCTGTCTAACCGTCGCCATGCATGGTTAAATCTCACAGTCTCTTATGTCATACATGACGTATCTGCCCTTCTGAAGTCATATGTAAGGTCGCGTATATAGTCAATGGTAAAACAAGTGTAGATAGAGCAGTGACTTCTTCTGTTTACAAATGATTTGTTGTAACAACGGGGGATAATGGCATAGCCGAGCTTAATTCTTATTCTACAGCTCATCCTATAAAAACAACATCTTGTTACGTAAGTGCAGCTTTGTAATCGTCAAAAAGTGATTAATTATTAACTTATTAGTGTGCTGTATCTATTGGTTTTGTTTAAGCGAGTGAAATATTAGTCGTTATCTTGCAACTTTGTGATAATAGGTGTTGTAGATATATGTTTTTTCGTGTTACCAGACCAGTAGGATATTAGGACCAACACTGTAACTGTAGTGCTTATAGTGTGGCACTGGATGACACCAACATGTGGCACTGGATGACACCAACATGTAGTGTGGCACTGGATGACACCAACATGTAGCACTGGATGACACCAACATGTGGCACTGGATGACACTAACATGTCGCACTGGATGACACCAACATGTGGCACTGGATGACACCAACATGTGGCACTGGATGACACCAACATGTAGCACTGGATGACACCAACATGTAGCACTGGATGACACCAACATGTAGTGTGGCACTGGATGACACCAACATGTATGGTGGCACTGGATGACACCACCATGTGGTGTGGCACTGGATGACACCAACATGTAGCACTGGATGACACCAACATGTAGCACTGGATGACACCAACATGTAGTGTGGCACTGGATGACACCAACATGTAGTGTGGCACTGGATGACACCAACATGTAGTGTGGCACTAGATGACACCAACATGTAGTGTGGCACTGGATGACACCAACATGTGGCACTGGATGACACCAACATGTACTGCGGCACTGGATGACACCAACATGTGACATTGGATGACACCAACATGTAGTATGGCACTGGATGACACCAACATGTAGCACTGGATGACACCAACATGTAGTGTGGCACTGGATGACACCAACGTGTAGTGTGGCACTGGATGACACCACCATGTGGTGTGGCACTGGATGACACCAACATGTAGTGTGGCACTAGATGACACCAACATGTAGTGTGGCACTGGATGACACCAACATGTGACATTGGATGACACCAACATGTAGTGTGGCACTGGATGACACCAACATGTGACATTGGATGACACCAACATGTAGTGTGGCACTGGATGACACCAACATGTGGCACTGGATGACACCAACATGTAGTATGGCACTGGATGACACCAACATGTGGTACTGGATGACACCAACATTTAGTGTGACACTGGATGACACCAACATTTAGTGTGACACTGGATGACACCAACATTTAGTGTGACATTGCATGCCACCAAACATGTGGCACTGGATAACACCAACGTGTAATTTGGCAGACACCAACATGATTGCAGTATGACATTCGATGACGCAAACAAAACGTATATCACAGCATGACACCAAGAAATAGCAGTTCCTCGATTAACATGTATCCCACTGTGAACTCAGTCACGGACGACTGGTTTCTACTGTCGGCAAGCAGGGGCAGATAACTGTCTTTTAGAGATCGCCAGCTAACGTTTGAAATGAGAAAATAAAGCAAATATTAAAACTTTATAATATTAGGCTTAAAATAAGTAAATGAATAAAACTTGTTCTATTTAATCAAAGCTTTATTCGCGGATATAATCTCAAACAAATTTAGGCGACAAATGCTTGTTTTTTTTAAGGCAAGTGTTATTTATGTTTTTATTGTGTTTAAAAGCTTATTTTTATATAGATTTTAAATATGTTGTATTGTTTGGGTGTGTTTATAGGGAGAGGGAGGGTAATATACTGTAATCAGTACTATTCCGGACTGCCAATTTTTTTTTCGTTTTCATGTTTCTTTCCTTCCATATTTCAATATATATATATATATATATATATATATATATATATATATATATATATATATATATATATATATATATGTATATATATATGTATATATATATATATATATATATATATATATATATATATATTTATTTATTTATTTATTTATATATATATATATATATATATATATATATATATATATATATATATATATATATATATATATATATATGTATATATATATGTATATATATATATATATATATATATATATATATATATATATATATATATATTTATTTATTTATTTATTTATTTATTTATTTATTTATTTATTTATTTATATATATATATATATATATATATATATATATATATATTTATTTATTTATTTATTTATTTATTTGTACATATATTAATATATACATACATTATATATATATATATATATATATATATGCACAGAATGCTCAATTTAAGTTCATGGCTGACGTCATTTGGTGTGTTCGTTGCTTGGACTGTGACGTCATTTCTATGCCACCAATGTGGGAAGACATACCTCCGTGGCACAGAGCTAGACGCACGGCACATAGACGGCGACGGTGTGTCACATCTACACATATACTCGGCGTGTGTGCTGACCACGGTACAAGTATGTACGAAGTTAGTTCTATAGAATTCTATCTGAGGTAATGGCTGGCTGAGAGCAGCATGGCCTAGTGGTAGAGAGTCCCGAGTTCGAATCCGGGTTCAAAGCAGTTGAACGTCCCTGAGTCCACTCAGCTCTGATGTTAACCTAACTTACGTGGGGGGAAACAAAGGCGGCTGAGCATAGTGCTGGCCACAATATCCCTTCGTACGCTGAGGTCTCTAAAGCAGATGAACTTTATTTCATCTGCCCCATGTGTCTTGAGCACGAACAGGAAGTGATGATGATGATTTACCGGCTAACATTAGTAAATGCAGTAACGTATCATGTCAGTGTTGACTAAGGTTACCATATCGCTAACTTGGGTAATAGCCCCATTATTGCTGTCTTAGATTCCCCCTAAAACACTGATTCAGGAACCTATTTTTAATTACTGGGATTAGCTTTCATCAGTGTTGAATGAATTGTAACTTTCCCATCCCTCTTAAATTCGGATCCCTGACTCTAGTACTTACGACGTTTCCAAATTCCACCCAGCTTTTGATGGGTACCCGACTCAGGTTTTAAAAAAGTAAATACGACTGTGCATATTGCTGACCTCACTATCAAATGCCGAGGTCACTAAAACTTGTGAATTCGGTGTCACCTTCACCGAAAGTTTCGAAACGGTACTTCATATACTTTACTTTTATGGTTTCTAAATATTTATCTACCATAACACCAACCATTTTATAGACTACATATAATATCATTACAAACATCAAAGTTTTATTTTACTCTAGCCCTTACTACTAAAACGTTCCACTACGTATTGATTTCTTTTCAACTTTTATAACACTAATTATCACAGCTATTCTTAATTAATAACTTAGAATAAGAACACGGACTAGTATAATCGTTTGAGCCTCGACAAACTTGTTTTGATTACAATTTAAATATATAGTCGTATGAATAGTTGCCTATATTTTGCTTCAACAGCCACTAAGATAATAAAACATTTGAGTGGGGTTATTTTAATGTATTGATCTTTTAAAGCTTTGAAAATCATAATAGACGTATTTTTTTTTACCATAGATGTAACTGTATATAGGGCTTTTGACGTGATTGAAATTTGACTACCGTATGTTTGACGGGGTACGTGGATATGTTTATATCGTGGTCGCTAGCCGTCCGTTGTTTTCAGGTTCCGCAGGCGAGGAAGTAAAAAAGAAATGCCACCCCCAACCCTCACCTGAACCACATGAACCATAAATTCTAGCTTTGTACTCGGTTAGCGTTTAGGGAATAATTCTATGGGAGGGTAGGTGGGTTTGGTGATTATGCGATATCATGTAAACTTACACATACGCACACATACATGCATTTATACACACGTATATAAGTAAATTAATGTGTGTGTTGTGTGTGTGCGTTGTGTGTGTGTGTGGGGGAGGGGGGGGGGGGTAATGTGTGTGTGTGTGTGTGTGTGTGCGCGCGATAAGGAAGTGAATCGTGGTATGGGCAGTAACGTCAGCTGGGCTTATGGCTTATTATAATATCTCTTCATATTACGAGGAAACAGAAACAGGTAAGCTCTACTGCATCTGCCCCATGGGCTACAAGGAGCAAAAGGGTAAATTTACTTTTTACCTTTATTGGCCCCTCTTACAAAACCAAAACACCTCCATTTCCGGCCACTTACATAACAGCCACATTTCCATTTCCGGCAACTTAAAAACAACAACACCTCCATTTCCGGCCACTTACAAGCCTACCACACTTGGTTGGATAGTGAACCTACATGGGAAAACTGACGTAATATCTAAACTAAGATGTTATGATGATACATCGAAACTTTGGGAAAAATTCCGGTTGGCCAAAAAATAAATTTCGGCGCCCTCTCCCCAGGAACGGTGCTGTAGTAGTGTTTAATTATTTTTTAAGTGTGTTTTCATTTCCCTATTTTACCTTTCACTCTCTCTTCATACCAAGGCGTAAAATTAAGACTTTGATAAAGAAAATACACAAATTGAAAATTTTAATTTGGTGGGGGGTCGTTTTAAAAACTCCCGGGTGTCTTAGACACAGCCAGTCCACCCCTTGCTGTTTAAAGATTCCCTGACACGTTTTATTTAATTTGTTTTTCAGTGCATCACGTGTTTCACGATCGTGAGGCTACGTCACGTGACCAACAGAAGACAGGTGGCGCTGCTGATCGTCACTCACATCCTGTCGACCCTGGCAACCAACTACAGCATGACGTACATCGAGGTGAGCAAATATTCTCAGAGATTTCATGGACTTGATGCAGAAACTAAAACACAATAAGCTAAACATTGAACACATTTCATGGACATGATGCTGAAGCTAAAACACAGTAGTTGTTAGCAGTGGCGTAGCGAGGTCGGGTGTCACCCGCCAGAGGCGTAGCCACCCTTCCCGGGGACAAACTTTCGAATTTTCGATTTGCACCACCCCCCCCCCCCCTCAAACTTTCGATTTGCACCTCCCCCCCCCCCTTAAGTTTTCGATTTGCACCCCCCCTCCCCCTCAAACTTTCGATTAGCACCCCCTCAAGTTTTTCTCTATATCTTTAGCTATTTTTGCCTTGGTGTCACCCCCCTAAATGGTGTCACCCGGTGCGTTCCGCATCCCGCACCCCCCCCCCTCGCTACGCGCCTGGTATGTTAGGTAAGCTAAACATTGAACAAATTTCATGGATTGGATGAAGAAGCAAAACCACAGTAGTTGTTAGGTAAGCTAAACATTGAATAGATTTATAGACGAGATGAAGAAGCTAAAACACAGTCGTTGTTAAGTAAGCTAAACATTGAACAGATTTTATGGATTGGGTGAAGAAGCGAAAACACAGTCGTTGTTAGGTAAGCTAAATGTTGAACAGATTTCATAGACGAGATGAAGAAGCTAAAACACAGTCGTTGTTAGGTAAGCTAAGCATTGAACCGATTTTATGGATTGGGTGAAGAAGCGAAAACACAGTAGTTGTTAGGTAAGCTAAACATTGAACAAATTTCATGGATTGGATGAAGAAGCGAAAACACAGTCGTTGTTAGGTAAGCTAAATGTTGAACAGATTTCATAGACGAGATGAAGAAGCTAAAACACAGTCGTTGTTAGGTAAGCTAAGCATTGAACAGATTTAATGGACGAGATGAAGAAGCAAAAATACATTTAGTGTTATGCAGAGGCTTCGCGAGGCGTGGGCGGCAGGTGCGGACCGCACCGAGTGACACCATTTGAGGGGTGACACCACGGCAAAAAATTGCAAAATATATAGAAAAGAAATGTTTTTAAAAAAAAAAACAGATAAGTCAATCAACGACAGTAGAGGGGGTAACACCAAAATCTAAGGACTTAGATGAAAACGATGCTTTTCCATATAAATTAATAGGTGGATTATGAGCACAAATTAACGTTATTACGCAAATTGGGATGTGGCTGAACTAGCTTGAATAGAGAACGAATTTCATCGACGTGATGAAGAATTTAAAATACAATTGTTCGTAGGTAAGTAAAACATGTATCATGTTTAATCGACTTTATGAACTAGCTTAAATAGAGGACACATTTCATCGACATGGTGCAGAAGCTGAAATACAGTACTTTGTAAGTAAGCAAATTTTTCTCAGAGACTTCCTTGGCTTGAAATACAGTAGTAGACATTGTTTTCGTGGAAGTTGTGGTCGAGGGTTAGAACAAACAACTGCAAAACAGGATGAGTACAGATTCTAGTCCTTAGGACTACTTATTTTGTATATTGTTCAGGATACAACCAATCATACTATTCCATCATACGATTAGGTCAAAGATCAGCTTTATTTCATATTCCATACCTGGTCCGAAAGTGTAACTGTACTTCAACATTTTGAGTATACTATATTTCTATCAAAGATGAACGTTATTAAGATTAAATTATTATTCCAAGAATTTATTTTAAAAATTTTTTATTAAGAAGGTGTTTCTGTAGCAGTCGCATCATTAAAAATATAAAAAGCATACAAAACAAATATATCACCCATTTCAGTAAACTAAGTTTGTCATTAATGCCTCTATCTAGTCACTTTTCCTTCTCTTACTTACGATAAAAGCACCATTATAGAGCTCAGCGACTCAATGATCGTTTGTTACGCTGGTAACTACTATTTGGATTCATGTCATGTTTGCCTGTCGTCCCTACTGGGACATAGGCCGCTGACAAGAGCTTTCCAGACGTCTCTGTCCAGGGCTAGTCTCTCCAACTATCCCCAGGTGTATCCAATCTTCTTGGTGTCTTCTTCCAGGTCACGTCTCCAGGTCTTTCTTGGTCTGCCTCTCTTCCTCCTGCCTTGTGGATTCCAGGTGAGGGCCTGTCTTGTTATGCTGGATACAGGTTTCCTGAGTGTGTGGCCAATCCATTTCCATTTTCTCTGGAGGATCTCTACTTCCACTGGCAGTTGATTTGTCCGTTGCCATAGAACATCTGGTGCTAGGGCCTTGTCGTGGCTTGGCAGCTTGCGTACCCTGACGACCCCCAGAGCTATACCAGCGGGAGTGTTAACTCCTGGCAGGTTCAACCAAGCTGGGAAGGTCTGCGCGGGTAGGGGTCAGACAAAAGCTAACACCCTGGTCCTCCAGGTTGGGGGTTGAGCATTAGGTGAGCAACCTTATATCGTAAAACAAATTAATTGCTACAGAAACGCAGACAGAGAGAAACAAAGACTATTTGAATTAGCCATACGATAATCACCACAACATCTCTTCCTCTAACTGATTTAAATTATAACATGTTCTACCACTTTTGTTTATACTCATGGATTCTTATTTCAAACACTTTGTTTATCCAGGCAGCTTCAGTGTTCGCTATAAAACTGCTGGAGCCTATCACAATGGCAGTGGCCCATTATTTCCTTATTGAACGGAAAATGAATGTTGAAACAGTTCTTAGCATCCCAGTGATTATTGTAGGAACTTTGATGTTTACAGGTGGGTGATGTCTAGTTCATACAGGTAGGTCCTGGGTTACCTGATACCTTTAGATGGAGGTCTTTACTTACCTGATACCTTTAGATGGAGGTCTATACTTACCTTATACCTTTAGATTGAGGTCTATAATAACCTGATACCTTTAAATGGAGGTCTATACTTACCTGATACATTTAGATGGAGGTCTAGACTTACCTGCTACCTTTAGATGAAGATCTATAGTTACCTGATACATTTAAATGGAGGTCTAAAGTACCTGATACATTTAGATGAAGGTCTATACTTACCTGATACATTTAAATGGAGGTCTATAGTTACCTAATACCCTTAGACGGAGGTCTATAGTTACCTGATACCCTCAGACGGAGGTCTATAGTTACCTGATACATTTAGATGGATGTCCTTAGTTACCTGATACATTTAGATGGAGGTCTAAAGAACCTGATACCTTGAGATGAAGGTCTATACTTACCTGATACCTTTAAATGGAGGTCTATAGTTACCTGATACCCTTAGACGGAGGTCTATAGTTACCTGATACATTTATATTGAGGTCTTTAGTTACATCTGCTTTCTGCTATATTCACTTGTAGGGCATAGATTTTCTGTTAACTTTGCATTTGATTATTTGCAAACATATGGCTTTCATGTAACGTAAAACTTTGGCATTTCGTCCACTTTATTTCATCGTTTTTTTTTCTTTTTATGCCCAAGACACATATGGCAGCCACAGAAAGCTCCCTCTCTGGTATTTTTTCTGGCAGTCCCCATGACAGTCCTGCCTCTACCAGCTGCTTCACCGGCGTGTGTCGCCACGTCTCCATTGGCCTTCCCTGTTTTCATTTTTCTTGAAGCTTTATATTTTTAGCGCCATTCCTGATAAAGTTCCCTTTTCAAAGCTGACGGTCTATAGGGCAAGTGAAGTAGAGTTCACTTGTTTCTGTGACATTCGGCATATGAAGAGATATTGTGGGCAGCACTATGCCTAGCCGCCTTTACTTTCCCTAACGTGAGTTGGGTACTTATCAGAGTCAGTCTACTGACGTGGACCCGGATTCGAGCTCGAGACTTACGGGTTAGCAGTCCAGCTCTCTACCGCTAGACCACTCCGTACCCTGGATTCATTCCTAAGACAAATTTATTTACAGGTAAAATAAACTCAAAACTCTATCCATTTGACTTACAGGTAAACTAGACGTAGAATCTGACGAAGGTGCCGGCGCCCTTCTCGCATTTTCTTCTAACATTCTCCTGACTGCCCGGAACATCACGTTGAAGAAGATCCAGACAACAGACAGACTCGTCTTGAACAGATCCATCTTTCCCGCGCTACTGGTGACGGCACAACTCAGCTTTGTTGTCCTTGTTTCCTGGTACCATTCTGGGAGCTCGTTTCCGGTGTCCTTGACACTGGTGTACGGATCCCTTTTGGTTTCCGGTTTGTTCCATGTCATGTATAACTATATTTCGACAAGCTTGGTGCTCAAGGTTTGTTCTATCACTGATTTAGAACTCTACACACTTTTTATTCAATGCATATTTACCAAACAAAGCTTTTACTTTATTTGTATTCTTCAAATGATGATGTGATCGAATTGATTAGCATAAAAATAAATAAAGCGGGAGTGATCTCCCCTAAACTTTCTCAAATATTCTTAAATAGCATTATGTGTGATGGCATCTTTGGATATAGATATTATTTTTAATGCATTTTTAATAACTTAAACTTTTTAAAAATATAATAGAATCTCGTAGAAAAAAGAATTGCACACCAAGCGAACGACAAACTATATCTGTATTATAGTGTGGAATATTAGTACTTTTGAATTCAATAGCGGTTTTTTTATTACTACTTCCAGTCAACAGAAAATGCTAGCTTAAATAGAGAACAGATACTAAAAATCCAAAAATTCGTCAGAAGGCAGAGAATTAGATCTTTTACTAATATGTGAAATTTTGTTTATTAATCTCAAATAGAACTCAAGTTACAGGCTTTTAAAAATCCAAAAGTAGAATAAGTTCCACTTCTGATTACCGCAAATCGGCAAAAAGTTTATACTGAACCATAAATTTCATATAATACTTATATATATATATATATATATATATATATATATATATATATATATATATATATATATATATATATATATATATATATATATATGAAATTTCATCAACCTAGCTGTAACGGTACTCAAGTTGTCATGTTGACAGACATACACATACACACATACATACATACATACATACACACACAAAGACACACGGACAAAATTGCAAAACTATGTTTTTCCGACCCGATTTTTTGCACGATAACAATACTTCCTCTATACTTCGTATTCGAGGAAGTAAAAAGATAAGCAATGGTACCTACGAATTATCAAACTTAGCCAACTTTATTTAGCCCAAATTTCAACATATTTAACATATTTTATCTCAAATCAAACTTCTTTAGAGTTCCTTCATTACTTAAATCACTAATAGACAAAAATGAATAGAACAATCAATCAATTGTAAGTTTTTATTTTATGAAAGTAACTTAAATTTGTCGTAAATATTTTTTAGTTGCTTACTAGAAAGTGAAAGTATTGGGAAGAATAAAAACGTATATAATTGTTTTTATAGCTAGTGGGTGTATATTTTAAATAATACAAATTTTATTTGCATCTTCAAACTAATAAAAAAATTAGTTCATGGAACAATATGAACACTAAATAATTTTATAAGATTAAATCTACTTGCAGTACATGTTTCTAATTAATAACTAAAATTATGAGAAGATTACCTTAACTCTGCATAAATAGTGAGGAAAAAGGAGTTATTTCCCTTGGTCTTGTCAGTGTTACGTTCATTGAAATTATACACATAGCTATTTATGTGTGTAAAATGTATTCATTTTTTAATATCTATATACGTTTTTATCTCATCCTCTTTCTGTGTCACTTTCTGGGTGTGTGTATGTTTTGTGTCACTGCGTGCGTGCGTGTCTTTGAGTGTGTGTATGTTTGCATATGTGTACGTGAGTGTGTACGTGAGTGTGCGTGAAAGTTTACAATGTGCCATGTGTTTCACAAACCACCGACCCATCCCTTCAATACCTGACTTTTACGTCCGGGTTTAGTTCAACGCAGAAAACGATTTGTGACAATCTTCAGTACTTTTATTTGGTCTCAACTCTCCACATTACATTGTAGCCCTCGTCCTAACCGCTACCAACTAACCCCTTTGCAATCACTCACTCCAGCTTTTATACCGCATTCGACCTTAGGATAACAATACATTAACACACCGGGGTTACTACACATTAGGGTAAACTCAACTTACACACGCACTCTCCCCTAAGTTCTACATTATTATAGTCTATTTCTATCTAACCTACAACTGACCCGTAACACCAACAAACCACACAAAAAACATAATTTAAATGCCCCTTTAAAAGCTTAATGAGTATTGAATTATACACAGTCAAATTTACAAAAATAAAAGACTTCAAGGTTTTCCACACGGATTTAACTGTTTTCTATATCAATTTTGTAGCTCCGAAATAGAAAATGTTACGGGATAGTAACTGGTAAGAAGCTCCACAAACCTTTATAACAGGGAGTGGGGGGGGGGGCTTTTTTCACAGACAGGAATAACAGTTTTACTATGTATAGAAATGTGAGTGGGGTGGCGAAAAATTGATAGTCCTTCCCTGAGCGCTGGAATAGATTGCTACGCGTGTGTCGAAAATTGTAATGTTAATTCTCCTCAATATTGACATTTTCTCAATGTAATTTCAGGTCATGACTGTTGTGAGTCACTCCATTGCCAACATCTTCAAGCGGTTGATCGTCGTGCTAGTTCTCTACGGCTGGGGTCAGCGTAAGGCCACTTGGTTCAACTTCTTTGGTTTACTGCTCGCTACACTGGGGCTGTGTGTATACGTCTACGGCAAGGCACAGAAACATTTGCCCGCTACAGCAGTGTCTGATGCCGCATCCTTGATTTTGAGTAAGTTTGGTTTTCTACGGATAAATAGAGATGCGATACTAGTTGGAGAAGGGGGCGCCCTTTTGAGTACGTTTTCTACGAATAATTAGAGCGACGTTGCCAGGGGGGAACAGAGGGGCGCCATTTTGAGTAAGTTTGGTTTTCCACGAATAAATAGAGAGGCGTTACCAAGGGGAGAAGGGGGGCGCCATTTTAAGTACGTTTTCTACGAGTAAATAGAGCGTCGTTGTTAGGGGCGCCATTTTGAGTATGTCTTGTAACTACAAATAAATAGCAGAGCGTTGCTATGAGGGAAAGGGGTGCCGTTAGGGGTCATCCATAAATAACATCACGCTTTTTTAGACGACTACCATACACACATACACACACACCACACACACACACAAAAACGACGTCACACCTCAGCTTACAACCTTCCTCAAAATTGCTGTTAAATTTTCTTAAAACATCGATATTTTCCCAAAATCTTGTCAGAACTCTCTGTCAACATAGAGTATTTTAATCAATTCCTATTAAAATTAATTTAAAGTTTTTTTTTTTTAAAACGGGAAATAACGGCTTAAACTCGTTTTCTAACATTGCTTTTTTTATAATGCAAAAGTGTGACGTCACAGTATCAGAACAAAATTACGGGACCCCCCCCCCCCCCCCCCCCGAAGCGTAACCAGAGGAGTAGAAGGGCGCCATTATGAATAGGTTTAGTTTTGTACAAATACTTAGGGAGGCGTAACTAATGGTTACATTTGGAACGGTAGTGGGAAGCGTCATTTATGAGTAAATTTAGTTTTTTACTAGATAAACGTATTTAATTATAGCAATAACTAGTACCAATCATGTTTTTTCAATTCTCGGATTTTCACAATTCCTTGCGTTTCTGAAACGTAAAACCCGCAGCAGTCGATGGATCACTGTATTTTGAAAATTAGGATCGATATTAATATTTAGGTAGGCCACACTGATTGGAAATATGACTAGTTTTAATTTGCCTATTGGTATCAATTACCTCCCTTTGTGTATACCGTTTTATTAGTTCAAAGGGGGAGCAATGTGAGATTTAATCTTCTGAAATTAATTGAAACAACTTTAAAATAATTAAATATTACATATTAATTAGGTAAATATTTATTTGATAAAATGTAAATAAATGTATTAAAAATAATTAATCATCAATGTTGAATTTTAAGTGATTAATTGTTTTTTTTTTTAAATTACAGTTGAGAAAATAAACACCTTAAATGTTTTTGTTAGTCTGTCAATTAAAGTATTTTACAGAATCTAATTCATTAATTAATCTTTTCGAACAATCGGTTAATGTAAAATGTTTCAAACCAGCATCTTTTCAATTTTTGAACCAACAAGGTTTAAATGCAATGTATCTTTGTATTCCTTTACATATTTCGCTATTTATTTACTATACTCTGTACACCAATGTAACTATCTTGTAAATACCCACAAAATAGCGTTAAATGTTAAATATATACTAATATTGATTCATATAAAACAAATGTTTCGCACAAAAAAATGTTTTCGCTAGCTCTGCTATGGTAAACTTAGTAGCTAAAAATATCAATAAACGACAATCCCAATTAACTTTACAAGCCAATAACTTTTTTTTTTTTTTTTTTAAATCACCATAGTCATCAGTCCTCAACATGGTCATCTCCGGCCCACTGGCTAAGGTATTGATTTGATTATCGTGTATCGGTCGCTTCCGTCCTTCAGTTCTCACTGGGCTTATCTTTCACCCAACTCGTACCCCACCGTCCAGCACACGGCCCAACCGTAGGAAGCTGAAATGCATGCTGACCAGAGTTTCTTCCAGTTCCCCCCCCCCCCCCCCGAATATTTTTTTACCGCCCCCCCCCCCCTCGAACGAAATGAAATGTATATAATTTATATAGAAAATAAATACTTTTAACAGTGTCCGCCCCCCCCCCCCCCAGAAGAAAGTCTACCGCCCCCCTGTAAATTTCAAGTGCCCCCCCCCCCCCCCCCGGAGAAAAAAGTCTGGAAGAAACACTGATGCTGACGGGTAGAAGAATGCATTTTGAATAAAATAGCATTCCCCATTTAATGATATTCGAAAAAGTCGTGACTTCGGCAATGGCAAGCATGGAACCTTCGCCTCAGTGCTGGCCTGGTGCCCAAGCGGCAGCAATCTTCCCGTATACTTTCTACTTCACCTATTCTTATTGTTCTCTGAATTGTGCTTGGATACTGAGTACAGTTAATATTTTGTATACAAATTCTATTTAGACAGATATGACGAGGAAGCAAGGTATAAAAGCTTGTAAAAACAATCCATTAATATAATCACCCCTTCTCCAAATCAGTAATTGATTTTTATTATCAATGACTATAATCTCTCTATAAGTCCATCATTTTTATCAATCTACAGTTCCTGTTAGTCATCCTTTTAGGGGGAGGGGGGAGGGAAACTAAATAGAATGTGTATACAAAATATAAACTTTACTCAGTATCCGATCTCCCACCCCCCCCCCCTCCTCCAGACAAAAATGTCTGAAAGAAACACTGGTCTAATCAAAATAATCTTTAATATTACCATTGTCTATGTTACCATATCAGTCCTTTATATATTACTATTACTAATCAGAAATTCGATTTTGAATCATTAAATGCAATTCTACTTTTTTTTTCTTCTTAATTCTATTCATGTCAGAGGTTTCAGAAAACAGCTCCAATAAGTGGCGTAGGCTGGGGGGGGGGCTAGGGGGGTCATAACCCCCCCCCCCCCATAGAACCCTCGGTATATATATAAAAAGTATGAGGGGGTGCAAATCAAAAGTTTGAGGGGGGGGGGGGGGTGAAAATCGAAAGTTTGTCCCCGGGTAAAAATTAGACCCCCTCCACCATCCCCCCCCCCCCCTTGAGACGATCCTGGCTACGCCACTGGCTCCAACAGCTGGACTGTGGTTTCCCGATCTACTGGCCTCCCATATAGTTTTTCCTTGAGTGGGGTTTATTGGGGTCAGAGTTTAGACCCAGCCTTATTGTACAAGCTGCATTTTTGTTTGTTTGTTGTTTTGTTTTTGTTTTGTTGTTGTTTTATGGTTTGTTTTTTTTTTTTTTTTTATTTTTTTTATTTTTTTTTTTTTGTTTTTTTTTTAAACAGAAACATCTCATCACCTAAGATCGAAGAAATTCCTCTGGACAACATTGGCGTGTTGCTGTATTTTTACATTCACACTTGCCCACACAGCATCACTTGATCAACGGTACTTCATCAAGGGCGACAACATCATTAACAGAGATGTGAAAGAGCTATCGCCCCTTCGGCTTATGGACCGCCCCTTTGAGACAAACGAAAAGTCTTTGACCTTAACAACACCGGAAGAAGTCGTGAACGAGGCTCAGCGGGTTCTTCTGAATCTGCTTCACGATATCATAGGTCAGGCCCGTCACGTGATGTTGATGGAGATAGCCACGTACGAAAACAAAGGCGACCCTGCTATCACGGCAGGGGAAGTAATGCTGCTGAGAAAAATGAACAAGCGCATCGTGTATTACTGCGAGACGCATAAATGTAAAAAACCGGAAGAGATTGAAGTCGCCTTGAATATCAGTCGGAAATATGAAGTCAGAGATCTCGTTATCTTAATGCAAGGTGGGGGGAACTTGGTCGGGTACCCGGGAATGGATTCTATCCGCGAGTCGGTTTTGAACCATTTCCCGAAACATAAACACATCCTCTTCTCGCAAAGTATTTGGATCCACAACGGTTCAAACGAAAGCCTTGCAAGTTGTGTTAATATTTACTCGAACAGGTCAAATTTCTACATGTTCATACGGGACAAACAATCGTTACAAATTGCTCAAAACTATTTTCATGGCGTTAAAATAATTCTAGCACCGGATATGGCTTTTGGGTTAGGCATGCGTCCTAGACTTATGCCGCCTTATTATGATATAGTGTGGTTGCGTAGAACCGACGAAGAGTCGTCCAAGTACCAACTTCCGGTTTTTCCTACAAACGTTTCTGTCCTGGTTTCTGATTGGAGGAGTGATTGGAAATCCAACCGGGGACAACGCGACATGGAAACGTCTTTCATCATCGCACAAAACGGGTTGGAATTTTTACAACGCGGAAGAATTGTCGTCACGGACAGACTTCATGGACATATTTTGTCCACGTTGATGAACATCCCTCACGTTATGATCGACAACCCGCCCTATTTGAAACTTTCATCGTTCGATAAAACCTGGACTAGGGGTCTCACCAACACCAAGATGGTATTAACAGGAGAGGACGCGCTGAAAGAAGCGCTGTTGATGCTGAAGACGTACGACGCCGTTCTGCCCGAAGTCGGCCCAGTGGACATGAATGCCTTTCCAGAAGTCAAGCCAAAGCCTAAAATAAATCCAACCCCGGAAATAAAGTCGAATCCAGCAAAACGGTCAAAACCTCAGCCCACTATGCGGCGAAATTTCTGGAAATATTTATTTTTTAATTCAAAGTGAAAAAAATGTATTTCTTTGTCATTGGCTGTTCAGAAAGTATTTTACCCAGAGCAGTATTTTCAATAGTCTACAATTTAACCAATCTTTCTTGCATAATGAGACTGTATATCAGTCGCGGAACTAGAAAAAAGGGCCACCCCGCAAAAAAATGTAGGGCCCAATATGTAGCCTATATATCTATATCTATATATATATATATATATATATATATATATATATATATATATATATATATATATATATATATATATTTAATATGTATAAAATACCAACAGAAAATACTCATTTTGGGTTAGTTCGAGTTTTGAAAAAAAAAATTCTTATACTTTTTTGTTTAATTAGAACACGTTACAACAACACGTCATTTGTGTGAGTGCTATTAGTCTCTTTTGAAAATCTCTGTTTCAATATATTTCTGCCCTAATGCCTCCAATCAACAAGTCGGTCAAAAGAATTAAAGCATGAAGGCTTTGTAGGTGTAATGGTTTCTAGCGTTATGTTTATTTTTATGTTTTTAAATTAGTTTTAAATACATTCACTTTTTATACTGTCTTTCTTTATTATGTATTTTTTGTTTTAAAATAATTAAGAGAAGTAATTGCTTTTTAATTTGTTTAGTCCAAATCTATGTGCTTTAGAGCACACATATTTCACTATTTAAAAAAAGGGAAAATAAGTAATGGAAGTGGTTGAACGTTTGCCTATCTTTCACACTATAACTGATGTATATATATTTATTTTACGCAACAACGTGTTTTAGCTACTGTATAACATCACTACTGTAGTAGATCTGCTTTTTTTTTTACAAAACTACTATTAGTGGCGGAACTATAAAAGGCGTAGCTGTTGGGGCGATAGTTTAAACAACTACCACAAACACGTCCCGGTTTACTCTGATGTGAAAAAACACCCCTCCTTCCCCCCCCCCCCCCCCCCCGCGGCAACGCCTATCCTCGTGTGCAAGAAACCCAATAAGCGGACCCCTGATGCTTAGATAGCCACTGGGGATCTCGTAGCGCTCAACTACACATTTTAAACAAATGTTAAGTCTATGAGTACTCAAAAACTTCCCAAATTTACGGATGATGGGATGGTCTTAACTACTTTTCCTAAAGCCTATTGTAAAACACTCAAGGGAGAGAATTCAAAGTATACACGTTTACTATCGTATTTGTTTGTAAAACAAAAAGAAGTAAACGTACATAAAACCGTAATAGTACAGAATAGTAGTTCTACCAATACAACAAACGAACATTTTACATTATAAAAATCACAATGGATTGTGGGCCCATAATCAATCATATAAAGAAGCGAAATTCGTCTATATCTAGCGGCCTCTAGCGCGATGGACTTATTTATTTTCAAAAAATTTTTGCAGACAACAGCTTGTGTTTGATTGTAGGAGAAAGAGGACTCCGGATGGTGTCTATAGAATAAAGATAATCCAACCGCAGCTACAGTATTCTTTTTACAAAAAACAACCATCTAGTCAAAAATAAAAAATAAAAAAAATTTTAATTTAAAAAATAAAATTGATTATTGTCGGCTGTGGGCCCTAAACGGCCCGCCCCCCCCCCCCCGCATTGCGGGGTCTGGCGGCACTGTAGTTCCGCCCCTGCTGTATATATATATATATATATATATATATATATATATATATATATATATATATATTTTTTTTTTTTTTTTTTTTTTTTTAATTAATTTATTTATTTTTATTTATATATATTAGTTTATAGTTTGCAATAAATTGTAAACATATTTTTACTTGCACGTACCAAATCTCAGTTATATAAATATAAAATCATTATCTCTTGTTGATTCTTTTCATAAGTCAATAAATTTCTTTGAATTGTTTAGTCCCTTTGTTGTTTTTTGAAAGCGCACCTCTTGTCAGTCTTTTGTCAATAGTATATATATTTTTTTATTTTATTGTTTCTGTTCATTTATATACATGTTTTCAATTATTAAACCTGCGTCAAACATAACAATTCTACACTTTGCATATCCGTTCGATTATAAAAATAAATGATTCGAGAGATTATTTCTATGTCCGTAAATATCTGCGTCTACACATTGCATCTCGATATAGATCTACATATTGAAAGTGTTTTTGGGGTTATTTTAATTGTGAGAGAATCATGGGTGAACTGGCCAGTCAGCCTACCGGATAAAAATTCCGATGGGCCTACAGGAAAAAAATCTCGGTGGTCTAGAAAGAAAAAATCTCTGTGGACACACGGGAAAGATCTCAGTGGGCCTCTAGGAAAAAAAAACTATCGGCCCACAGGAAAAATATCTGTGGGTCCTTAGAAAAAGACCGCAATGGGCTTCTAGGAAAAAACTCCTACATTACATTACATTACATTACATTACATTACATTACATTACATTACATTACATTACATTACATTACATTACATTACATTACATTACATTACATTACATTACATTAACATTTACATCACATCACATCACATCACATCACATCACATCACATCACATCACATCACATCACATCACATCACATCACATCACATCACATCACATCACATTACATTACATTACATTACATTACATTACATTACATTACATTACATTACATTACATTACATTACATTACATTACATTACATTACATTACATTACATATATAGAGATTTGGTTGGGACTAAGGTAATGATTACAGAGTTAGGGTTAGGGTTAGGGTTAGGCTAAGGCAGGGGTTCCCACCCCCGTGCCCGCGGGCGCCATGGCGCCCGCCGAACGATTCGTATGTGCCCGCCTGCCACTATTCGACTGAAAGAGAATTTTTTTCATAAACATTATTGAAAGGTTGAAGGGGATTAAAATCGAAAGATTGAGGGAGGAGGGGGGTGGAAATCGAAAGATTTGTCCCCGGGTGACGGGAAGGGTCGCTACGCCCCTGGAAGGAGTTTGTCAATTTAAAATATGTGGTGCCCGTCACCCTACCGATATTTTAGAATGTGCTCTAAAGTAAATAAACCGGGAGTGATCTCCCCTAAACTTTCTCGAATATTCTTATATAAAATAACAGGGGATGGAAACTCGGGCTATAGACATGATTTTTAATCCATTTTAAATACTTAAAGTTTTAAAAATAGAATAAAATCTCGTAGACAAATTAATTGCACACCAAGTGAACGCAAATAAAAAAAGCGCATAATAGTGCGCAATATTATTAGTACTTTTAAAATTTACATTAGTTTTTTGAGAAATCGGAAGTAGCGTAAATTACTACTTCCAGTCAACGGAAATTACTCAAAATTTAACAGAAGGTAGAGAATTAGATCTTTTACTTACATGTGAAATTTCATTTATCTATCTGAAATAGTACTCAAGTTATAGGCTTTTAAAAAATTCAAAGTAGGAAAAGTACCACTTCCGGTTATCGGAAATCGCTCAAAAGTTGATACGGATCTACGATTTTTATAAAATACGTATATATGAAATTTCATCAACCTAGCTCAAGTTAACGTGTTTACACACGGACACACACACACACAGACAGACAGACACACAGACATACGGACAAGATTGCAAAATTATGTTTTTCCGTATCAGTGAGGTGTAAAACGTCGAGATTTGTAAAAAATCTCGATTTTTTTATTTTTTTTTTTTTGCACGATTACAAGACTTTCTCTATACTTCGTATATACGAGAAAGTAAAAAAGTTTGGGAACCCCTGCTCTAGAGTAAAGAAAAGTTGGGAACCCCTGGGCTAAGGGATAGTGTTAGGGATATGGTTAGGGTTCTGCGGTTTGTTTTATTAACATTGTTACCTTTACATTCAAATACATAAAACGATTTTATCACATCGCAAGTGTCATTGTTCTAAAACAATACTAAACATATGTTACTTGCTTTTCTTAATCTTTAAAGACTCTAAATCCTTTTGTTACAATAATCTTAATACCGATTAGGATAGTTCATTTTTCTATTGGATGAAGCGGAATATTCTACTTAATCCTCCTGAGCTTGTCTTTAGCTGTACATAACTCTACATAAATATCTACAATGCGACTCTACTTATATTACATACCATCATCATTATACAAATACCATAATCCCTACCCAGTACAAATAACACTGAAAATAAATTGAATAAGTGCAGATTATGTAAGTTGGTACAAAAATCTCCATTTAGCTTTAGATACCTGTATGTACTTGAGGTAAAACTGATGTATCCTATCCGAGCGATTAATGTAGTATTTACAAAATGCAAAGACGTGGCTAAGGTATTAATGCAGTTTTAACCAAATGCATTAACATTGCAAACATATGAATCTAGGAGGGAAACAGTGGCGCCTCAGATATTGTTAAGTTTAATTTAAATTTAAAATTTCGGGGTTTTTTAACAGCGTTACTGTATGTATCATTGCACGATGTTTTTTGTTTGGTCTGTGTAGTATCTAACATGTAAAGCTCAAATGGATTTTTTTTCACTTTGTTTATTTATTGCCAATTACTTCCCTTAACAGATCACAAAAAAGCATTACCTCCCTTAAAAAACCATTACATCGGGTGGGATACTTTTTATTACTTTGTTTTGGTGTTGGAATAAAAATAATTATATTATTAGCATGAATTGATAAAGTGCAATGTGGTAGGTAAAACACGGATATTTTAAATACTGCCTTTTATTTATTTTATACACTGTACACTGTATTTTATACACTTAATAATTATTGTTTTGAATCAATAATAGTTTAAAAGCCGCTCCTAAATGTCGTCTATACTTACTTCTATATTTCCGTTTGCGGACAAGCTGGGGGTATTATAGTCGTTCACTAAATTGAATCAGGTGCGTCCGCCGGCGCCTCGGCAGGTGCGATTTAGCGCCCTGGGCTACCATGTGAGTGCTGTGGTGCTTACGTTCGTTTTAAACAGTGGGATAGGCTGTAAATAAAAATACATACTATATTCGTTCACTAAATCAAATCAAGGGCGTCCCCCGGCGCCCCGACAGGGTGCTATTTG